CCAATATGAGGCTGGATCTGTTTGCAATGCCTTCTTCTAACTTAAGGTATGTGGCTGGTTTAAGTGCTCCATCAGCTGGGTTTCTACCTGGGAATAATAATAGGGAACTTCCTCTGTGCCAGCCTCCACATTTAATCTCATCAGAGGCTGAAGTGAAGGGTGAGGACTACTGAAGTGGGCCTGATCTCCTTTCTAAATTAGACACTGTCGCTAATCAGTGACCATCTTGCCTTCTAATTGAACAAGGAGCTCTTGAGAAGTGAGTGTAAGAGCTGCCTAGTGGTGCTAAGCTAGGGAGATGTTAAGCTCTTCATTAGCTCTTACCTGACTCAGCCCCTTAGCAACAGCTAATCTTAGCAGCCTCTTTCCACTTACCAGGATTACTTCACAGACCGAGTCACATAGTAAAAATATATTTTAAAATATGTGCTGACTGGAGAAGAGGGTGCACGAGCAGGCACCAAGGATGGTGCATTGTGGGAGGGTGCATTGTGCATTGTGGGATAACTGCAGATGTACGTTTTCAGAGCTAAGTCCCCTGATTTGAATCTGAGGCTCGTAACACAGAACAGCTGCAGCCTGAATCCAGTTGGATCACCTGGACTTCTGTATAGAAGAGACTCCTCCTGCAGTCCTGCCACCCCTAATCCCAGGCTGAGATACTTAAAATATGTGCTCGAACCAACTCCAGGGAATTAAAACATTCGTTGACTTAGAATACCAACTACTCCCCATAATATCCTATCTATAGATCTTGATTGATTTATAAAATAATTTGAATGCAATTACAGATTTAGTGATTCTCAAATCACTGTTTATTTTTCAGCTAAGTCACAAGATGGACTCAGGTCATAAGATGTGTTATGACTGAAGGTCTGAGAGAATGGAGGACATTAGCTTAGAGCTGCATGTGGTGCTGGCACTGTGATTTTATAAGTCTTATGTGTGTATGTATGAATGTACCTATGTACTTATTATCTATTAATTTATCTCTCTACCACCTTCATATTGGACCCCAACAGCCTCATTACAGCAAGAATCCAGACCATTTCCCTCCTCCGCACCCCAGCCACCAAGTGGCCAAGAGATGGAATGTACAGACTTCTTGGAATTTCAATGGGCCTAGCAGAGCCCCTTGGATTCCCTCACTCTCTGCTGGTCAGCTGAGTGCACTACTGGAAGCTGAATTCAGAAGTGTGACTCTCTGGCCTGGTTAACTGCAGCCCAAAGCTTCCCATATAGCAGAGACAAGAACTTTGGGGGCAGAGGAGACTGACAACTGAGCTCAGCTAGGAAAGGTGATCTTTCTTGGGAGGCCAGCTTCACCACCGTGGTACATATGTGGTGGGGACTGGAGCGTGCAAGGTGGGCACTGAAACAGTGGTGACAAGGAGCCATGTCCAAAGGTAAGGACAGTCACCACGTTGTTGCTGACTTTGGTGGGACAGAAGACCTGTAATGGCGTTTTGGACCACGGGCTGCTCTTCTCAGCTCTGTCCAGGTCTGGAACACCTGGCAATGTTTCCAGCCCAGGGCTTCTCTCCAGGGGCACCCACATTCTGCCTATCTCCCCAGCCATTCCTCCTGATTCTGCCTTGTTGTCTTTTGTACCTGCTAGATTTGGGCAAATCTTTAGGGCTTCTCTGGCCATGTGACTCAGTCAAGCAGATTTTCTTCTTCAAAGATAGTTATTCTTTCGGAGCAGTAGAGCCAGCAGCCCATGGAACCCTGCTGTGCCTTAACAGCTCCTGTCCCATCCTCCTCCCACATGGAACTCCAGCTCCTTGTGGTGCAGATCAGCAAGGCGACAAATTCATTACTCCACGTACATGCTTGTCTGGCAGGAGCCCCAGTCTGCAGGCCCACGTGTCCGTGGGTTTAGGGTGCAGCGTTGCTTTGCTAAGATAAGCAGAATCTTCAGTGAGAACCTCAGGGGAGCTAGATTCCCATCCTTGCAAAGCTCAGCTCATCTTGGTGACCACAGAAGGTCTTTCAAGAGATCAAAGGTGGGGACATTCCAGAGAGAGCTTCCTATCATTTTGAGCTTCTTCTGACAATCCCAACCTGTCAATGGCAGAACACAGACACGAACATGACCTCTAGATTGTAGATGGACAGCTGTGCTTCTCCAGAGGGCAGTCTCAGATCCGGGTCTGCATCTGTGCTTAAAGGTTGGTTTATTAGCAAATTGGGTCAACAGATGTCAACCCCATGGCAACAAAAGCAGGAGGACTTTAAGAGGGAGTAGGGGAGACACAAAATTGTCCTCATAAGGGCTGATGTTTAAGCCAGTCCATAAGGGACCTCTGAGAGGCCCTATAAAACCTCAGGGATGAGGCCCTGAAACTCAGGCCAGGGGAGCTGCGGAGGCTGATTGGCCCATAGTCCCAGCTGGAGTGACTGCTGGGCATTTGTATCTGGGGAGCAGTAGCAGTTGTTGGACTCTGGTCCTTTGAGAGGTCAGGGGGCTGCCGGGGTGTGAGGAAGTCCTGCTCCTGCTTTTGCAGAGGCTGGTCCTGTTGTCAGTGCTTGTTCCTAGTTAGCTGTGTGGCCCGATGGTGACAACTTGTGCAGCTGCCAATGGTACAACGACCAAGGTGGTCTCTTAAACCCTATTCTCCTTGGGAGTAATCGTCACTCCCTAGGGATAGTTGGACTATCTGTTCAAATGGGGATACCTGGTGAAGCAGGGACACATGGTGATATGGGGAAATCCAGGAAAGTAGGGGTACCTAGTGAGGTAGAGACACCTGGTGAACAAGGATGCATTGAAGCCAGGCCTCCTCGTGAGACAGTGACAAGGACCCTCAGGGGAGATGGAGACAGGTAGGCATGGACATCTCCAAGGATGCAGGTGGGAGGCCACTGTGTAGGGGTTGATATATGGACTAACTGCCTTTGCCAAGATGTCATTTTCCATGGATGTTGCCTCAAATTCCCATCCTTCTCCCCACGGGGCTCTTTCCAGCTGCTGACAGATGTGCTGTGAAATATAAACCAAAGTATCTCTCAGGTCCCTGAGTCTTGACCCAGCATAAATGTGTGCTGGGCCCCAGTGCTTTTTTCTTGCTTTATGAAGTTATAGTTGAGATGACCTAGGGTAAGAGGAAACCAATGGGATTAGGATCTGAAGGTGTAGTTGCAATTTTGCTGTTTACTGTGAACACAACTTTGGGAAAATCACATACTCTGGGTTTTCTGTCAATAAAATGGTTATTGTAACTTAAAATAAGCCGATATAGAATCAAGGCCTTACCCACAATCAGGGCTGAGGAAGCAGGTCTCACCAGGAGTGCTTTGTGGCCTGGCAGATGTTGGGCTGGGCCCTCTGTCCTCCTTCTACAGGTGCCATTTATGGGATGCTGGGCAAATTACCTTCTCTGGTCCTCAGAGAAGGGTGTTACCTTCTTGATACCTTCCTGCTGGGTTTCTTAGGATTCTATAAGGTAACATGGGCCCCGAGCTTAGTGCAGGACCAACTGGGGTGGCGGCTTGTTTGTGGAGGCTGTAATGGCAACTAGGACAATGTAGGTCTAGGGAGGCACCTGGCATCCTGCCCCACTGAGAAGATTGCTGTGTGCTCAGCAGTCACTCACAGATCCAGTGAGGATGACATTGATCACCACCCTCTCCACCATGGCCAAACTGGTGGTGGCACTAAGCTGCACTGTGCCAGCCCACTAAGTGAGATTTGGGGAAAACACACTTTGTTCCCTGGTCACCTGATAGGTCTGGCCCTGAGCCTCAAACACGCACGTGACTGTCAACACCATATGGAGCTGCAGGTGGTCTTGGCTCTGGTCCTCATGGAAGATGTGGCAGAGCTTTACAAACTACAGAGAGGACCAGATTATTCAAATGGAGGCTTTTCCATCAGAGCAGATGGGGATGTGTTCTAGTGGGAGACATAGTACCTGGCACAGAGGGGCTGGCATGGAGTGACCCTGATGGGTGGGGTAGACGCCAGGTAGCACAAACAGGACTGACTCCACTTCCTGACCAATTCCAAAGATCTGGAATTTTGGGCATCTCTTGAACTAAAATGGACAAAGAAGTCCATTGTAAATAGTGTTTCACCATGAATATATCCTAAAAGATTAGGCTGAAAAGTTGAGGAAGGGCACAAACAAGCTTGGGATGGACTAGTGAAAACACAGAAGGTGAGAGTGACCACCTATCTCCTGCCTACCTAGTCATGCCCAGCATTCATGGAGGCTGTAATGACAACTAGGACAATGTAGGTCCAGGATATATTCGGGATGCTGGGCTCTGCCCACACATTCATCAGCTGACTTAGGAAGTGGTCACACTTATCATCCTCTCCCAGAGATGAGTCCAGAGAGGTACCACCTGCCCATGGTCACACAGCTAGAAAGTGCACAACTAGATACAAATTCAGGCCTGTATGATCCCAATTCATGCTTTTACCTCCAAATTACTCTGACTCTTATGGGGATGTTGGGCTTCTTCCATTTATTCTTATTAGAGTATACTTTTGGAGCATTCATGAGAGATAAATGTTACCTGTGCTAGAATAAGTGGTATAAGTAATGCAATGCGAATAGTTTTCAGAATAGAAAGTGTGTACAATGGGTGTGTTTGTGGGAATGGCTGTGGTTCTGGATTTCCACTGCCCCCGGCATCTCCAGGCTGCAGCACTGAGTACTCATATCAGGGTATCTGGGTATAGATGCAGGCAGCAGGGATTTTTAAAGTGCCCTGGGTGGAACCACTTTCCTAGTGAGATGGCCTTTGGCTCCCCTGAGGATGACAGTGTAATACCATTTATTTATGGCATCTAAGGTGGGAATTTAAGCAGTCGATGTGCAGTGATTCCTGTCTCAGAAAACACCATCCTAATTTCAGCTGAGTCCTGGGAGGCTCTGCAGTTATTTGAGCAATAAGTTAAGCTATAAATGAAATCCAAGAATTGACATTAATCACAAAGCAAAGCCTTAAGCAAAAAAAAAAAAAAACTAAAAGATAATTTTTGTTAAATAATGAACACTCTTCAAACATCAATGAAATGGTAATAAAATGTCTGTGATTACTTATTTCTCAGCATTCATCTGATAACTTAAGTAGCATGAAGCAATAGCTGCACTTAAAAAATGACAAGAAAATAGCTATTGATTTAGTCGACAGAGAAAGTTCATCTCCTTTTTAAGATCACTAGTGTCATTTCTTATCACCAAGGTGAGTGTCAGCATAGGCGCCTGGAAGCATCCCCTTGTGTCTGTGCCAAGGTGGCCACCCAGCCCCGCCATGAGAATGTTTGGGGCAAAGCCAGGGGTCCTTCTGGGAGGCGTCTTGGTCAGGGGGAGGAGGGGTTCCTGGCCTGCCCCCTTCTTGCCCTAGATCACAAGGCCCCAAAATTGCATATTTCTGCACAGTGGCTGCTGAGCTTGGCACATTCTGCAGGAGCCTCAACGTTCTTAGGCTGGGGACAGCGTGGAGGAAATGAAACATAAACCGTGCATGTTTCCCACACAACTCTGGGTTTGTGTTCACAGGGCTGGGGGAGATCAGTGGCAGCTAGTGATCCTACCAGCAGTTGTGTCTGTCTCTCTGCTCAGTCCCATTTTCTTCCTGCAGGGAAGGTGGTGGGCTGGGAGATGCAGGGCCACAGACAGGAGAGTGACACGTCCTCTGCCCTCTGCCTATTGCACCATATTCCATAAAAGCCACATTTGTTAGTTTGTATATTGCTAATGTGATGGCCTTCCAGGCACGGGTGGGCTGTAGAGACAAGCATTGTCATTGATCCAGCAGAACCCATCCAGATCTTTGGAAATTCCACTTGGAAGGGTTCACAGTGCCCAAATGTCTCTTGCTCTACACAATGCTGTGAAAATGAAACTAAAGGGTAAAAACAAAAGAAATTCAAGGGGAGAAAATTCCAGGGCTTTATGGAGTGGTTCAGCAATAACTTATATTGTACAGCATCATATAGGTGTGTCTCCCTGTGTGTCCACCCCTTGCCAGCCCTGCCTTCTCTGTCTGCACACAAGTGTCCCCAGTTCTTCAGCTATGCGCCTGGATGGAGCTCATAGGTGGTTGTTCTTGGAGAGGTAGGCAATGAGGGCCACGGCCACACCCACATAGATGCCAGTTCCAATGGTGATGGAGAGCACAGCCAGGAATAGGGCCCGCCGGGAGCTGGTGCTGGCCTGGTGGAAGTCCCCCTTGGCCACGGCTTTGTTTGTCTGTAGAGTTGGAAGGAGGGAGAAGAAAAACAAAGTCAAGATGAGTGAGTATGGACAAGTGATGTGAGTGTGAGGCTTAGGGCTCAGCCCTGGTTCCCTTCAACCTTGAATGTTACTGATTCCAGGTGAACCCACCCTGAGCAATTGTACCTGCTAATGGCTATGAGGGCAATAGCTTTCTTACTGCCAAGGAAGGAATGGGGGCACTTATCACTGACCTCCCACACGGCAAAGCAGTGAAAGTTTTTTTTTTTTTAAGATTTATTTATTTATTTATTTATACAAGAACCAGGGTACAGGCCAGATGTGCACGAGGGTGAGAGAATTCACCAGAGACAGAGCAGGGAACAGCACAGGCACACTGACGAAATACACTGCTGAGGGGAGCAGCGGGCATGGCAGGAGAGGTCTGCAGTGCCATGTGGGACCCTCACTGGCTGGCCGGGATTGAACCGGCGCTGCAGAGACTGAGGACAGCTTCACAGTACTGCGCTTAACTGCCTGTGCCACCAGGGGAGGCCCAAGGCAGTGAAAATTTTAAAAAATGAATGAAATGGCCCAGTTAATACTCACAGCCACACCATCCTTAGCTGAGCACCACCTTCATGGAGTCCAGGGTGCTGGGCACTATATGAGGTGTGAGGTAGACATTGCACCTTCCCTGCCATCCAGTATATTCAAGATTGACATTTTCTTTCATTTGAATGGCAATTTTCTAGGTTAACACTTAACTTACTTAATCTACAACATAGTAGGGATGTGGGGAAGGAAGTTATAGTTCTTAATTCCCAGAGAGGAAACTGACATAAGAGAGTTAAATGAATTGCAGGATACTTGAGACAGTTCTTCAGCTATGGAAGCCTGCCTGTCTTTCTCCCCTGCCATCATTAAAGCTGGTAAATTAACCCATCAATAAATGAATTTGAGAGAAGGCTGATACATATATTTCTGGTCACTCAATTGCTTAACAAGGTGCTGGTTTAATAAGATTCATTTCCCTTGGAGTCATGAAGTAGTTATGAACAGAGAAGGGTTTGAATGTTGTATGAGGCTTGATGTTTTTTGTTTTAATTTTTTTAAAAGATTTTTTTAACTTTTTTTTTTTTTTTAATACAAGCACTGGGTACAGTCAGAAGCGCGGGAGGGTGAGAGAATTCACCACAGCCAGAGTGGGGAGATAACAGGCAGACTGACAGAATACACTGCTGAGGGGGGCAGCGGGCACGGCAGGAGAGGTCTGCGCGCCGTGTGGAATCCTCGCCTGGCAGTCGGGGATTGAACCGGTGCTGCAGAGGCTGCAGGCAGCTTCGTAGCCCAGCGCTCAACAACTGTGCCATTGGGGAGGCCCAAGGCTTGATGTTTTGTGGCCAATATAGATGCCCATCCCCAGCCCCTTAATTTCATGTGCTCCTCCCTCTACAAGTAAGACTGGAAGCCAGACACTCTCTCCCCACCCTCCTTGCAGATGGGGTGGTTTGTGGCTGAGGCATAGCTCGGTGGACTGTCTGGGGGATTTCTGAGATGGGTTTTGTCCTGAGGAGATACGGCGCTCACAAGGACGGCACAACCCTCCTCCTCCTTGCCTTGGAGAGCGGCCGAGAACGGGAGCTGTGGTGGACATATATCTGGGGCGTGAGAGAAGTGAGAAGAACAAAGAAGCGGTGTTATACAGTGGAATCTCCAAACTGACGGCTGAGGTGTGGAGAGAGGGGAATAGACAGGCCAGCGTTGGGGGGGTGGTTGTTGCTGCCATACATCCTGTCCTTGACACCAGGACTTGGGGGAACTCTTTGGCTCTTTGGCTGATGTGGGTGGAGGGTCCTGCACACATGGCCGGGGTATCACTTGATGCAGAGGCAAATTAACCAGACCTAATGGGGGCCCCCTGTGGTTGGCTGTGGTAAAGGCAAGACCTTCTTTTCTAGTAGAATACCCTATCTTTCCCTCTAGCCCATCTTTAACCCAGACCCAATTTCTACGTGTCTTCAGTGATATTTCTACATATTGTTTACTCAGACTAAAAGATGCCGATGCCTTTGCAATGGACACAAAGGGTCAGACTCAAAGATAACTCATGAAATGAATTACCATCCTTGCAGGACTGACCTTGTCCTGGTGAGGTCTGGAGCTACGGCTAGTGTGGATAAGAGACTCCAGTTCCTTCGTGGCTTCCATCTCTACCCTAACTTTGGGATATTGAAGGCCAGTTTTTATGTCTTCATCTCCCAATTTTTGTCTTAAAAGTGAGCTTGGGAGTGCATCAAGGACTCTTTAACGATGCAGAGCTAAGGTAGTGCAAAATGGGAAGCCACCTAGTACAATAGCCATTAATTAATTAAGCCTTAATGATTTGAATATCATTTTATCTAGCTGCACTCCCAAACAATCCAATGTCCTATAACATAATTTACTGTAATTGCCCTTCTTGGGGTTCACTCCAAGACTCACCCTCTGTTAGAGTGGAGCTTCACAGTCCTGTCCACCATTGTCCCCATCCCATCACAGTCCGCCCTGCGCTCTGCTGCAGGAGAGGATGCAGAGACAGAGAGGAAGGTGGGTGGCACACTCCTTGACCCTGAATTCAGACCCATTGTGGAGGGGTTCTGTGTCTCAGAGGACATATCTGTCTGAGTTTGTGCATGTCAGTGATGGAGTTCAGCAGCAGCCTTCCCAGCTCAAGATGCGTAAGGCTGGGGCCACATTTTCCTTGCACAGGTGGCCCCTTGGGGCTTGTGCTTGTGCCCTGGGGTAAGAATTCACTGAATATTTGGTGAATGTCTGGACTCGTGGATTGTGATCAGCTCCCTTCATTGTTCCTCAGTGGTACTGGCTGACGTGTCTGCTGCTGGCTTCTCTGGTGGTTTTTGGGAGGAAGGCAGTGGAATAGGCTGTTTCCTCTGAGTGTTGGCCAGTTCCACAGACCACTCCTCCTGGGGTTCCACACACACAGGTACATGTTCACCTTGGAGCCCAAGGGTCTGCTGGGAGCTACCTCACTCTTCTACTCTCACATTCAAGCTGGACTCCAAGAACCTCCATGTGCAATGTTTGTTCTAGGGTGACTGTCCCGAGGAGAGACCAGGAAGGGCATGATCAGCAAACAGATACAGTCTTGCTGACAAACAGGCTGCTTTCCCACAGCGCTGCTCAGCATCTGCATTTCACAGAGGCTCTGTGAGGTAGTGATGCCATTGGCACTCTACACACAGAACCCCATGGTCTGACAAAGGACACCCTAACACACACCCTTTCCTTCAGCTTCAGAAAACAAATCATGGTGTCCACAAAACCACTTGCTCCTCACTCTGCCCCTCTGCCAGGATGCCAACTTGAAGAGATGTTTCTATCCTGATGACTTCTGGCCTAAAGTTCCAGGTTCTTTGCCACGTTTTCTGGCTGCGCTCATAGGCAGGGGTGTGTTCTTGACCTCGGTCCATCAGTCTGGAGTGGGCTCCCAGAAGGTGGTCCTTGGCAGCCTGACTTGGGGTGATTTTCACAGGTGAGAGGCTCCAGGTGTCTGTGGGTGAAGCCAAGCAGCCTGTTCTCTCCTGAAGCCTGTGTTCATCTTCTAGGGCTGAGACACACATTGTCCCCGCTTTGTGGCTAAAACAAGAACAAACACTTACATCTCTCCCAGTTTCTGAGGGTCAGTTTCAGAGGAGCTACTCTGACTGAGGCTGCTGTCACCTCCACATCCTGGGCTGAGACTGGGCAGGGGGCCAGCATCCTCCAGTGTGGCCCTACTACAAGGGCTCAGGGGCAGTTTCATGCTTACAGTGACCCCTGACTGGAAGCTTTAGTCCCTTCCTCAAAGTACTGCTTGGTTTAGTCTTCTCAGGATCCCCCTATAGCCAGAAGCTGGTCTCATGGCATCTGGGGAACTGATCTTGGCAGCCCTTCAGGGAGCACTGCAGAGCTCAATCTGACCCCCTTTGTGAACTTGAACTCCAACAAAATTGCTGGGCATACACGCAGGTTGTCAATATTGGTGGCTCCTGCTGCCAGAGTGGAATTGAACTGGAGCCACCCCTCAGGGGAGTGACAAATTTGGGCACCTAGGATGAGACTAACAGTTTGTACCTACCCCTAGGGCATATTCTCTGAAGGCAGGTCCAAGGCTTCCCCTTGGTATAGCCCTGTCATCCCAGAGGTAGAGCTTCGAGGGCTACCATGCTAGAGAGAAGGGAGGGTGATGGTGTGGCACAAGCCAGACCCATGTACCAGTCTGCAAATGGCATTCCCACTCCATCCCTGAACTTTCGGGAAGGTTCCCTGCTCTCCATCTGGAAAGGTACCTCCTCTTGCACTGGGGTTTCCTTCTATTTTCTGTTGCTAACAGGTCACAAGTAAGGTTTTTTCTTTCCTTTTTGGGGCATTTGGCTCAGGAAACAAAGAACACATATCTGGCTCTGCCCTGAGCAGCAACCTCTGTACCATCTTTGCCAAGAGAGCTCAGGGGTACCTTGAAAAGTCTGCCTGGAGGAAAAGTACCAGGAGGGAGGGAGCTTGTCCCAGGATGCGGAAATTAGCTGTGGGACCCAAGAAGCCCGGGCTCCAGGTGGCACATGGGGAAATGCTCTAAGCCTACAGGCCAGAGGTATTGTCTCCTACCAGCCCACAGGGACATTTCTGAAGGAAACTTTACATGCTGAAACATTCCATACTGATTCTTTATTCCAGAGCCTTCCTCACTTACATGGTGTAAAGATATGGAGAAAACTTGATTTTCAAACTGAAGGGCAAAATTGAAACTTTACTGTGAAAACAATGAATTTCCTCTCCCTTGAGTGAAGTGCTTTTTAAACTGAGCAAATAAAGAACATATAAACAAACAGAAGAGGTACAAGCAGGAAAAGATTTGTTCTGAGGAAAATTGGCAAGGCCAGCAATTTTATCCCCTGGATGGAAGCTAGAGGCTGATCAGCAGGGGTCATGCTCCTGAGACTCGATGAACCAGAGAAGCCCCACTCCAAGGGACACACGCACGGTCAGGAAGCAGA